GAAACCAAAATTTCTTGTTCTTCTAGATTTTCCAATACAATTTGGTTGCTTTCTTTTCTTCGAAGCATTACCTCTATTAGGTTCATGAGGGTTGAATATTTTTCCGAAATATCTAAAGGAATATTTCTTACTTCATATTTATTATTTTTTCGACACATTTGATAACTTACAAAATTTAACATACGACGAGAGTCTTCACCAGCTTCTAAAATATTCTGACTATATTGATACATTTCATTACCAAACAATTGAATATAATGAGTATAAAAATGCATTATCCAAAGAACGGTTAGCATTCGTACTTCTAAGAAATTATACGTTATCATTGTAACTAAAAATTGTTTTGTAATTAATTCATTTAAAATGATTCTGTTTATATCATATATTTGTTCAAGTGGAGTAAAAATGAAAGTAATAAAGAGTTTTAAATATTGAAGGTGATTAAATATATTACCACAACAGAGATCCAATAATATTAAGTTCGTTTTTGACTTAAATATAAATTTTGGCGGTCCATCTTCTGTCCAGATTTTGTTATTGAAATCAAAAATTGACAAATCGCATAGTTCATCATAACTAGGATAATCGAAACCAGTGTCTAATTTTAAAGCTGTTTCTAATGACTTATCAACTTTTTTCCAGAACCCTATTCCGACACATGTTTTTGACACTACAACACATAACAAAAATAGCCTCACAGTATATTTTTTAAAAATCATTTTTATATGTTAATATACAAATAATTTAACAATCAATGATTTTTTTTTATTCAGTACATATATTTTGACTAAAGATATTTTATTGGAATTTTTTATTTCAGTAATAGATCACCTAAAACATATGCTATAAATTTAATAAAAATAACTTAACAAAATAAACAACATATTGAGCTCTAATTATGCGTATTAGTTGTTGATTTAAGAACTTTATACATTTTTGTAGATAAATTATTAATATTTAGTTATTTTTTTACATTTTTTTATAATTATACAGATATATATTATACAGTATGTAGAGATATCTTGGTGTCATTTTTTTCAATTAGACTTCTAGTCTGTATTCTCTATGACTTATAGTCTGTATTAATATAATAAAATTAATTTGGGCAATAGAAGTAATTTAAAGAGATTAATCTTCCTTCCTCCTACCTTATGCTACACCCCTAATAATATATAAAGTACTTTATCTAAAACTANTTTTTTGATTTGTCTTATTTTATTTATTTTCATCATGGCGGAAGGAGCTGGCAAGCGTCCTACTCAACCTCCAGATCGTCTGGGCATAGATCCTCCTTCATCTCCTGCTCATGAAAAGAATGAGAGAAGTGATAAAAGTAATCAGCAGTTACGGGATACTCTTAAAGCCAAGGAAGTGACTGATAAGAAGAGAGAGATTAATTTATCTGAAATGGGTGGAATGTTATCTGAACTTCTCAAGGGAATGAAAGCTAGAGATGAAGATACTAAAAGGATTAATGACGATAATAGAAAGCTATTTACTGAAATTCAAAAGAGCTTAGATATCCAAAAAGATCTTCTTCAGTCTAAATTGTTCGAGAGGGAGAAAGTTTGCGCAGAACGTCATGATAGTCTTGTTGAACAGATTGGTATGTTGGAAGAAAAAGTATCGTCTAACGAAGAGTCTCTTTGTATTTTGGATACCCGCAGTACTTTCTTAGAAGATTTTCAAAAACAAAGTAGTAGTGCTATGGATCAGCTTCGTTTAGACCATAATGCTCTTCAATCGAAAGTACAACATTTGAGCGCTGAACTACAAAAAGTGTCAAAAATAACATCTGTACCGACTAACTCAACAGTTGCTCCTACATCTTTTATTACTCCAGCACCTATCACATCGTCTACTCATTTACCCATTAATTTGAACCACACATCTAATTTTGAAAATAGCCGATTGTCTGTTTCTATGCTTTCTGAAAAATTCAATGATGTTATACCTGAATTTTCTGGTCATGTGAATGATATTCACCCTGAGTTATTTTTGAGTCAAGTTGACTCATATTTTGAAAATATTATTTGTACTGAACAACAAAAGATTAATAGTATCCAGCGAAGATTAGTTCGTACTGCAAGACTTTGGTATGATGCATTAATTCCATCACCACAGTCATATGATGAATTTAAAGTCATATTCCATTCCCAGTTTTGGTCTGACGCTATTCAAGATCGAGTACATGACGAGGTTTTCGCCCATACCGTTATTTGTCAAACACGGGACTCTCCATATATGCTATGCAATGGATTGCCAAAGCTCGTTTCTTGGATCCTGCAATATCACCTTCGCGTTTAGTTAAAGTTATTTGCTAACATTTTAATGAACATATATGTACTGCACTTAAGGGACGTGGCCTAATGACTACATCAGAACTCTTGGCTGTCTTATCAGAATTTGACAATTCACCTACGTTCCATTCAACTACTGGAAATAATAATACGCGTGGGTTATTATCGTCGTCATTTCAACAACAACAACAATCGTCGGTTTGAAAATAATCGTGGACGTGGCAACGATAGAAGTCAAAACCAAAGTTCACCAGGTCATTCNAGAAGTCGAAACCAAAGTTCACCAGGTCCTTCTCCGGGAAACGGGGAGCCGGGCGTCTAGGTTTTTCGACTCCTAGTCGTTCGCTTCGTCGCACTGTCGAATGTCCTTCAGACTCGAGTGTGAACCTTCTTAATAATAATAATTATAATAACAATTCTTCTTGTTTTTCTTCACCGGAAATTAATTTAATTAATATTTAATTTAAATTATCGCGCTCTTCTAGTAACAGGTGCTACATGTTCTGCTATTTCAGAGAAAGTTTTTCAACAGTTATGTGATACTGTTGATGATGTAAAATTATTACCTCAAATACCTGTAACTGGAGTTACTATCTCCACGGCTGTCGGTGGTCGTAGCAAGAAAGTCCACACACAAGTTCTTTTGTCTTTATTTGTTTCTGATTGCCCCATTGAGGGTATTTTTCTTGTTGTACCTCAGCTATCGGTACCTTTTATTATTGGTGAAGATCTTCTTCACAAATACCTTGTCTTGTTAGATTATTCTAGCAATTTGATTAAATTTTCTTTACTAGGCATTGAGGTGCCATTTTTTTCTAATTCTAGTGATGATAATGATTTAAAATTATCTTCAATTAAATTGCATGCTTCTCCCGTTTCTGTATATATGTCTGAGCCTGACCAGTCAGTGTCAGAGACTCAAAGGGTGTCTGTGGTTTCTCCTTCTACGGAGAATCCAGTTTGCATGTATCGTATGACTGACTTAATCAACCCTGTAATGGACGATATCCGTCACCAGGTTGAATCCATAATAAATTTAAGTGTTGAGCACAAAGCCAAATTGTCTGAAGTGTTGTTTACCTATCGGGCTGTTTTTAACGACAGACCTGGGCTAAACAACTTGTATACGTGTCGTTTTGACGTTATTAAAGATGAGCCTTTTAAGGTGAAGCCGTATCCAATACCATTCTCACAGCGTCCAGCGGTCGAGAAAGAATTAAATCGTATGTTGGAATGGGGGGTGATTGAACGCAGTTCGTCACCTTATGCCAGCCCGATCATCTGTGTGAAAAAACCAGATGGATCGGTTAGACTTTGTTTAGATGCTCGCCGTATAAATGCTATTATAGTCCCAATGAGAGATTCTTCTCCACCTCTAGACGAGATATTGGCAAGATTTTTTGGGAAAAAGTTTTTTTCATCTATTGATTTTTCATCTGGTTATTGGCAAGTTGGACTTCATCCGACGGTACGGAAATATGTGTCATTTGTATATAATGGTCGTACATATTCATTTACGCGTGTACCATTTGGTCTGAATATATCAAATACTGGTTTTGGAAAAGCTTTGGAAGCTTCCCTGGCCAGTTATTCATTTAATTCTACTTCAGAACATATCAATAATATTCAAACCTATGTAGATTATGTACTTATCTCTACTGTGTCTTTTGATGATCACTTGCAGTGTTTGTCAGAGTTATTTGAAAACATACTTAAATCTGGAATGACTCTTAAAATATCAAAGTGCAAGTTCTTCAAAGAAGAAATTAAATTCCTGGGACATATTATTACTCCTCAAGGTCTGACCATGGACAATAGTAAATTAGAAGCTGTGCAAAATTATCCGAATCCACGCAATAAAAAAGACTTACAATCCTTTATAGGCTTTTGTAATTTTTATCGGAAATTTTTAGACCACCATGCGTCTCTGATGAGCCCATTAATTGAATTGTTGTCATTACCAACTTGGAAATTCACTGAAGAAAATAAAAAACAGTTTGAACTTATTAAGTCTTCATTTGTTAATGTTATTTTAGTACATCCAGATTTTAATGCTGCTTTTTGTATACAAACAGACGCTTCCAAACTTGGTTTAGGAGTTGAACTTTTTCAAATTGATTCGTCTGGTTGTCGTAATACAATTGCTTTTGCTAGCCGCGTACTCAATTCTGCAGAAAAAAATTATTCAATTACTGAAATGGAATTACTCTCCATTGTTTTTGCCTGCTCAAAGTTTCGAGTTTTTTTATTGGGTCATCATGTAAATGTCATAACTGATCATCAAGCCTTGGTATTTCTATTTAAGTGTCGATTACGTAATGCCCGTCTTACTCGCTGGACGTTGCTATTGCAAGAGTATGACCTCCATATATGTCATTGTCCGGGAGAACAGAACGTCGTAGATGCGCTTTCTCGTAGTCCAGTCGGCCGAGATGAAGTTATTGAAGAACCCATGCCTAGACTGATGGCCATTAAAATTGAAACCCCTCCTAGNATGTCACTAAGGGTTTCCTCAATTGCTGGATTTCACGCTTCGGAGTACCTCAATACGTTACGACTGACCGTGGTACTCAGTTTGTTTCAGCTACTTTAAAAACTTTAGCAAAACGTTTTGGTTTTACGCTTCGCCCCACTACCAGTTGGCATCCTGCTGCAAACGGATTCGTCGAACGAATGCACCGACAACTAAAGGCAGCCATCATGGCCCACGCAAAAGACTCGTGGACTGAGTCACTGCCTATCGTGCTTCTCGGAATACGTTCTGCGTTTAAGGAAGACTTAAAAGCCACGTCTGCGGAACTTGTTTATGGGGAGCCTCTTAATCTTCCTGGTGATTTCTTCACAGACAATCAAGATAATAGCAGTACGAACGACCCTACTAGCTTACTAGATCGTCTTCGCAGTGTTATGAATAAAATCCGTCCAGTACCTGCATCTCGCCACTCAAATCCACGATCATTTGTTTTTGCGGACCTTAAGGACTGTTCACACGTATTTCTCAGGGAGGGAGGTGTCCGAGCAGCACTTCAACCGCCATATCAAGGTCCCTACGAAGTAATTGCCCGAAATGACAAAACGTTCACAATAAAAGTTCGAAATCAACCAGTTACGGTGACGATTGATAGAGTAAAACCTGCCTACCTCATGGTGAACGAAAGCACAACCGATAGCCAGGCACATGCTCCACCAGCGACTGCCCCGAATACGCCCAAACAAAAACAACCGCCTAATACCGATCCATCAACGCAGCCAGTACGAACAACTCGCTCAGGCCGCCGAGTCAGATTCCCGGACATTTTTGACCCTAGCTAACTCCACTCCGTAGGGGGGTGGTGTGGCGGTCGAATGATCTAGAACGTTCGGCCGCCGCCGCCTCTAGAAGATTCCTCTGACTATATAAGGGCAAGATCGTCGCTCCAGTCAATCAATCGATCAGTCAATCACTTACGCATTTTGTCTTAAACGCGCTTCGTCTCTCGCTGTTATTTGTTAGTTCGTTGTAATATAGTATAGTTGTTATTAAATCGTAAAAGTGTTTATTACTTCTATATATTACACCTCGCTACAAACTCCACCATTTATTGAATCCTCTACAGAAACAACACATGCTGTCGATTTATTAGGCATGCTAGTACTAGGTATGGCACCCGATACAACAAAACCAAACTCAGTTTCTTGGTAAATAAGTCCCTTATTTGCAATTTTAAACTGTTTTTTACCGATTAAATTGATAAAATGGCTAGCTCCTATTAAAATATCAACTGGTTGCGGCACATTATATAATGGGTCCGCTAAGAAAACTCCAGCGGGCGTGTTTTTGTCATCTCCGATTTTCTTCATAGGCAAATCCCCCGTTATCTTTGGCACCACCAATAATCGAGTGAATAGTTGAAAGTCACTATTACGCGATTTTATTTTTAATTCAACCGTTGACGAAATACTTTGGGTCGTTTGCCCTATACCACAAACAATATGATTAATTTTTTGTCTTTTTAACCGTAAACTATTAGCTAACTCTACCGTAATAAAGTTATTCATTGATGCTGAGTCAAGGAGCACCCTTGCTACGGACGTTTGGCCAATGGAATTGCTGACTTGTACTAATGCTGTCGCTAATAAAACTTGATCTAATGTATTAGATACATGTGCGGTGGTCGAAATAGTAGTTGCTGTCTCACTTGAAATATTTTCTGTTTGGGTTTCAGGCCGATTGAATACTACACTTTTAATTAAATGCAACAACGTATTATGGGAATTATTACACTTCAGACAATATCTACCAAAACATTTTATTTTATCGTGTTTTCGTAAACAAATTTTACACAGGTCTATTGTGTTCACTTTAGATATGCGCTCGGCTACCGATAACGCAATAAACGATGGACACTTACATATTGTATGCGGCTGATTACAAACATAACATTTAATCGCGGTAGTTATCAGAGTATTTGACCGAGTCATTAATTTACGATGATTGTTCGCATGTTTTATAAAACTACTTTTCCGGTCAACAGTTGATAAATAATTATTACTGCATTGCGAAGATTCTATGGATTCCATTATCTGAAAACGTTCGCCTAAAAATGTTGTTAATTCCTTAACAGTTGGTACTTTATCCTTGGATGATTTTATCTCCCACGACTTCAGCGTTTCTCGATCCAGCTTTGAACACACTATGTGCAACAGTAAAGGGCCCCAATCTCCTGGTTTTTCGCCTAAAGTTTCTAAAGCTTTCATATTACCATTTAAGTCGTCTATTAACATACGTAATCTTCTGGCAGTACTATCTTGTAACGGTTCTAACTCGACAATATTTCGGACGTGTCTTTGAACTAACACCTTTTTATTATTATAACGTTCAATTAATGTAGTCCAAGCGGCCTCATAGTTTGCGTCCGTTGTTTCAATGCATCTAATACTACTAGCTGCTTCTCCATTTAATGATGACTTTAAATAAAAGAATTTTTGAACTGGCGTTATCTCCGCATTAAAATGTACCAGGCGTTGAAACATATCAAAAAAGGCTGACCAATCTTCATATTTGCCACTAAAAGTTGGTATATTTAATGCAGCTAAATTAATTGTCGATTGCGTCGAAGTAGTTCCTGTATTTTGCGCTGTTTGTACAAGACCTTGCTGAATTATAGGGTTTAATACTTTCTCTGCCTCCGCTACTGCTTTAAAGTAAGTATCCTCAAACTCTATCCGATATGGATAATTCTCATTATTATTTTTTACTTCATCTGCCTCGTTTTCCATGGCAGACTGGACCTGTTGAAATTCATTCCACGTATCTTCTAACTTTTCTCTGCGTATCCTAAGTTGTTATTTATCGATATCTTCCCCATGTATAAAAGTCACAAATCGCGTTAAAGTAGCTTTTAATTGACCTCTTCTTACTGTAAGTGGCGCTGAATCATTTGTAGGGGCCATTATAGAGAAACGAAGCAAATCGATGATTACCCCCTGACCTTACTTACCTACTACTTTTATCGCTACTATACATATACCGATAGTAAATTTACTATTCCGACTATTTATCAGTGCGGTCTAACATACTACTAATAATAAATACTATTGCAATTTCCCCTGATTTTTTTCTTTTTTTTTTTTTTTACAACAAACGCTATTATTAAATAACCAAACAAAAGCGTGCTTAACGAATAGGGAATTCCTTTTTTTTTTTTTAATATATAACGATACTTAGGAAAAGAATGTAATTCTGTTACCTTGACAATATTTTCTCTCTTCTAGCAGTTTTTTCTCGAGAGAAAATGTTCGAAATGGACGGGTTGGTCCACCTAATTATCCAAACTTGATACTTGACGAATACGAGTTATCCCGTCTACGACTCCCTCACTATAATATTACGATTATAATAACACTTATTTGTTAAATATACACGAATAGCCACCACGATATTACACTATGTACTAAAATATTATTTAGTACCACGAAAATACGATATAATCGTATTTAAAACGCACTTTACATAAACTGATCCGGCCCGAAGGACCAAATGTTACGACTGTGGACTGTATTTTAATTTTTTACGAGAATAATATTACTTAGGTTGCTTAACTATAAATTAATAACACGAACTTTTCTATATGTGAATAGTGAGGCTTTTATTAGGAGACTGGTTTTTCGCCANACATCATTGAATTTTTCAGAAAGCATAGAAACAGACAAACGGCTATTTTCAAAATTAGATGTGTGGTTCAAATTAATGGGTAAATGAGTAGACGATGTGATAGGTGCTGGAGTAATAAAAGATGTAGGAGCAACTGTTGAGTTAGTCGGTACACATGTTATTTTTGACACTTTTTGTAGTTCAGCGCTCAAATGTTGTACTTTCGATTGAAGAGCATTATGGTCTAAACGAAGCTGATCCATAGCACTACTACTTTGCTTTTGAAAATCTTCAATTTATTTATATGAATTTATGTATAGAACTAGTTCTTAACATTGGTTTTAAATACATATTAGATAATGACATTATTAACAAATAATTCAACATGTACATCTTGAATAAAAGGTTGTAAATAATTAATTTTGATATTGTCTATGAGTTAACAAATGTAAGAAAATAAAAAAAAAAGCTAGAGCGTTTTAAAAACTGTACTATTTAATTCGGCAGCAAATTTTCAAGCATATTTTTAGTATGTTAATTTATTTTTAAATATAGTTTTAGATAAAGTACTTTATATATTATTAGGGGTGTAGCATAAGGTAGGAGGAAGGAAGATTAATCTCTTTAAATTACTTCTATTGCCCAAATTAATTTTATTATATTAATACAGACTATAAGTCATAGAGAATACAGACTAGAAGTCTAATTGAAAAAAATGACACCAAGATATCTCTACATACTGTATAATATATATCTGTATAATTATAAAAAAATGTAAAAAAATAACTAAATATTAATAATTTATCTACAAAAATGTATAAAGTTCTTAAATCAACAACTAATACGCATAATTAGAGCTCAATATGTTGTTTATTTTGTTAAGTTATTTTTATTAAATTTATAGCATATGTTTTAGGTGATCTATTATTGAAATAAAAAATTCCAATAAAATATCTTTAGTCAAAATATATGTACTGAATAAAAAAAAATCATTGATTATTAAATCATTTGTATATTAACATATAAAAATGATTTTTAAAAAATATACTGTGAGGCTATTTTTGTTATGTGTTGTTAAGCTACTTTTTATTTGAATAAGGAATATTTTTTAGATTTTTAAGAGTAATAACTTAAACTAAATACGAATTGTAATCATTTGACGATTCGTTGAAAAAAGTAGGTCTAGTTAAGGTTGGCAAAATAAACCGTAGCCACAAAAAGAAACACATAGTAAAATAATATTAACATGAATGAGAAATTTCTTCTCACGAGGGGAGACAATAAAGATGGGATCTTTGATATTTATTGAAGTTACTGAATCTAATTAAGATAAAAATCAAATGATTTGAAAATTGTTTTTTAACTCAAAAAAAATGAAAATATTAATGCCACAGACGGATTTGAACCTCGCACCCTTAGCGTGAAAGATCAAAGTGTTACCCATTCGGCAACTATTCGTTGCTTTTTGTTGCATGATAAAATTGGCTATTTAAACTAACTCAAATTTAAAAATTACTTTTTCGACATTAAAAAAGTAAAAAAATTTTAATAAGTATAATTTCATATGTCTTATGAACTTTATTCTATGTCAATGATATTATATAATATTCATGAAAGTCGATGTATTCCCCTTGTAAGATATTTTAAAATAAAATAAAATACAAAACCCACAATTTTAACACAAAAATAGCATATTTTTGAATACGGTAGCCATTTTCACCAAGAAGAAAATCTTTATTACGATTTTTTTTTTTCATAGTAAAGTATATAATATAACCTTTAATTTAAGATTAAACAAAAATGTTAATATTTCTGGAACATTTTCAAAAATTAAATTGAAAAATGTTATCTTTTGTGCAAAAATATATTTTTTTTGAATCTCCCTTTTGGGCAAGTTGATATTCAAATTTTCAAAAAATTTATATCAAATGAAAGAAAAATATCTAAGGTTTCGAAATAAAAAAAAAATTGTTCAAAAAGGTATGGCAATTTAGGTATTAAAATATTTTATTTTAAACAGTGATTTTTGCACAAAAATTATTTTTTGTTGAATTCGACGACCATTTTCTGATATATGGAAAGGAGACGGGACAAAACTTATAGTATTTATTGTAAGCTTTAATTTGACATGTGTTTAAAGGTCGTAGTATTTTCGGGATATTCTCAAAAGTTAAGTTGAAAAGTTCTACTATTTATATGTATGATTCAAGTTTTAAACCCCTCCTGTTTAAAGGAAAATGGTCTATTTAAAAAAAAAAGAATGTCAAATGAAAGAAGTAAACATAAAGTGTTTATAAAAAAAAATTGTATTGATCCATACATTTTTCAAAAAGTTATAGTAATATAAAGTTAAAAATATAGAACGGAAAATCGAAAATTTTAACACAAAAATAACAGGTTTTTAATTATGGCAGCCATTTTCAAGATAAGACTTCGAGACAAATTTTTTATTTTTAATTTTATAGGACATGACATAAGCTTTTATTTGGTATATGTTTAAAGGACGCAGTATTTCCGATTTTAAAAATTGTTATTTTTTTGGAAATTTCCGTATTTTCGGGAAAGAGGGAAAATTTTTTAATTTTTAAGGGTTATGTCTACAACTAGATACTATTTGTGATCTTTTGACGTATTGTTGAAATAAATTGAAAGAAACGCAAATGGTGCTGGATATACCCCTTAAGTAATCGTGTTTAATTGATAATCCCGTAAAGGATCTGTTGCAGAGGGCCGCCACACTATATGTTGAAACCGTTTGTCATCTTGTCAACAGTGAATGCATACTTCAGAGTGCCATTTGTCAGAATGGAAGTACGAGGGGAGGCAACCGGTGGCGCCACCAAATTTTGGTTGACTTCTTGAAGTGAAGATCCCTTCTGACTAACTTCAGATAATACTACCGTCTCTAGTTTATCTGGAACTTAGCATCTTCTTCGAGTTGCGCTACCATAGAGACTATGCCGCTGACAATGGCACGCATTTCTGCTTCTAATTCAGGCTTGAACTTGTCTAATTCATTCAATTCTAACATAGAGTCTAAAATCATATCATTTTCAACCACGAATGCCTTCCATAATGACTCCATATCCTTAGCCATCATCAGAAAATGTATAATATCCATTTTTCGTTAATAGTGATCGTACCTAGTGTATACGTATGGCGCATGCTCATCAAAAAATTTTCAAGCTTGATTAACGCCTTCTCTTTAGAGTGGACTGTACGCTTTGCCATGGCTGCCTGGTATATCTCAATTTAAAGTACACCAATGAAAAAAAAAACACTTAAAAAGGAAATAGTGCTATTAATGAAAATAATAATAATGAATTTAAATTTGTTGCGAAAAATGAAAACCTTAAATAGTGATTAAGTTAATATTAATTTTTTGGTAAAATAATTATTCAAGCCACGTTTGCGTATACAAAGTATAAATATTAAATCACACAAGAAAACCGCTGACACAATGTTCCCGTAATTGTTTATTATATATTTTATTAAAAATATATTATACCACAAGCTGATTCAATGNTATATTTATATATATACAAAAAATATTTTAATCTGATCCGACCTGTTAATTGTTCTCTTCAACTCGTGTTTGACTCGAAGACACTATCAAATGTTCGGTAGGTCGCTACAATACGATATACCCAAATTACTCCAAATGGCTGTTGGAACTCACATCAGCCTCGCTAATTACACGCTAATTCTCAATAGCGTAAACCAAAACCGTAATTTCAAACCGCAATATACTGACGAACAATCTATATTTTCGATCACCGATATTTTTAGTTATAAAACGAGAAGAATTATAATAATATAAGAACGAGGCAAAAAAACATAACGACCGTAGCTGAATATCTCGCACGCGCACAAACAAATCACAACACCTTTCATGATTATTTAACTGATAAACGCCGTCGCAGTACGCATTCGGCTCAACACAAATATATATATATATATATATACAAATAGACAAAAAAATGAATAGATAGTTTTTGTCACGTTACAATATTTTCGATAAATTCCCTATAGTCGATATCGGTGTTCTTAAAACTCACTTTAAACTTGTCAAAATAAAATCATAAGAATATGTCTATCTATATTCAAAATATAATCAACAAGACTG